CCCCCCACCCAGGGGTGGGATTTAAATTTCTGTGGGTGTGGCCTAATTTGAGGGCGTGGCTTGCTGTCACGTGACTGGGTGGGCGTGGCTTGCTGGTCATGTGACCGGATAGGTGTAGTTTGGTAGTCATGTGACTGGGTGGGCGTGGCCACGTGACTGGCAAACCAAATACAAGTGGTCCTCAATGGCCGGTTGTTTAGCAAGTGTTCTAATTTATGACTGGCCTCCCCAGAGCTTCTTGACCTGTTTTTGGAGTTTTGACAGCCATGCACACACATACACACACACTCCCTTCTAACCCTGCTGGAGCAGATCATTGGACTAGAATCGGCAAAGCATCTCTGATTAGATTCTAGTAGTGAATAAAATCTAATCAGAGATGCTTTGCCGATTCTTGTTGATTTGTTTTATTTTTATTTCTTTATTTTATGTTGCTGAATTGCATTGACGTGTGTCCCTTCTTGTGCACAACCCAGAAGCTTTTGTGATTCTTTGCAGCAAAAATTACCGATGTCTGGCTTTGCTCGACTTTTCAAACATGCCACCACTGCCGCATTTTAGGTGCCAGCCCCGCAGGTCCACCCCATTGAGCCCGCTGCACCGGAGGGACCTGCCCAAGCAAGTCCAAGCGGATCAGTGCACCAAGTCAATGGGGTGAGCCTGAGAAAGGGAAAGAGAGAGAGAAAGAGAGAAGGAAGAAAAGAAAGAGAAAAGGGAAAGAAAGAAAAAGGGACAAAGAAAGGGGGAGATGGAAGGAAGGGACAGAAAGAAAAAGAAATAAAGAAGGAGGGAGGGAGGAGAAAGATAATGAGATATCTATTCTAGTCCAATCACCTGCTCCAGCAGGGTTAGAAGGGAGTGTGTGTGTGTGTGTGTGTGTGTGTGTTCTTGTAATTTACCAATACATTTTGGTTTTGCCTTCTTCAGAATTGGCACTTTAAAACATTGGGGAAAAGAAATTTTTTAGGGTGGAGATCTGGTCCAATGGATCCTATTTAAAGCCTGAACAAAATGTGAGAGCTTCCTGATAGTTTTGACCATGTTTCGTCCACAAAACCTTTAATAGAAGCCAAAGAGGTTTCCATGTGCTGGCAAAGATGTTTCAATGTGGAAAAGGGCCTCAGTCTAAACTAGGCCTCATTTCAATCTGATGCATCAGGTCTCTCTCTCTCTCTCTCTCTCTCTCTCTCTGTGTCTGTGTCTGTGTCTGTGTCTCCCTCCCTCCCTCCCTCCCAGACTGGCTTTGCTCTTACTTTCCCAATGTGCCTGCGGGGCTGGCGCTTCGAACATGGATGGATGGATGGATAGATAGAGAAACAGAGAGAGAGAGGTAGGTAGGTAGGTAGGTAGATAGATATATTGGTAGATAGATAGGGAGGCAGGGAGGCAAGCAGGCAGGAAGACAGACAGACACCTTTTGGATGGATGGATGGATAGGTAGTTAGATAAGTATGTAGGTAGGTAGTTAGATATTGGTAGGTAGGTAGGTAGACAGAAAGGCAGGCAGGCGGGTAGGTAGGTAGGCAGGAAGGCAAGTAGACAGACAGACAGACCTTTTGGATGGATGGATGGATAGACAGACAGACAGACAGACCGAATGCGACAGCGGCGGCACTTTGGGAAAGTAAAGCAAAGCCGCTGTCACCTCATTCGAGGCGCCAGCTCCGGAGCGGTGCAACAGTCAATGGGGTGAGCCTGCAGTGCCAGCGCCTTGAATGCCCCCCTGCCGCCTTTTAGTGCCCCTCTGCCAGCCCCCTTGGGGGTGCTAAGAGGCGGCAGGGGGGCATTCGAGTGGGGGGCTGAATGGGGTGAGCCTGCGGAGCCGGCGCGTCGAACGCAGAGGCGGCACATTGCGAAAGTAGAACAAAGCTGCCTGCCCTGGGCTTCCTCAACCCTGCCCTGCTCCAGGAAGGAGGGAACAGCACCGCCCTCTACGACGTGAGTGCCTCAAGAGGGGGGGCAGCTTGGGAGGCTGATCCCTGGCAGGAGGGGCACCCTGTGAACTTGCTGTCAAGCACAGCAACTACAAAGAGGGGCAGGCTTGGCTGAGCAGGATCCTGGATATTGGGCATGTAGTCAAAGCCCCCCTTCCTCTGCCTCCCCCTAGGTCAGGGGTCTGCAACCTTAAACACTCAAAGAGCCATTTGGACCTGTTTCCCACAGAAAACAAAACACCAGGAGCCCCAAGACATGGGTGGGCGTGGCAACTCAATGTCACTCCCACTGAGTCACATGACCCTCCAGGTTCTGTGGTTTTCTGTGTTTTCTGTGGGGAACAGGTTGCTCTCTCTCTCTCTCTCTCTCTCTCTCTCTCTCCTCCCTCCCTCTCCCATCTCTATCTTTCTCCCTCTCCCTCCTTTTCTCCTTCTCATCTCTTTCTCTTTCTTTCTCTCTCCCTCTCCTCTCTCCTCTAAGTTTCTCTCTTTCTCTCTCTCTATGCCTCTTCCTCCCTCCTTCTCCCCCACTCCCCTTCCCAACTCCCACACCCAGGGAATAACAGTAAGGAAATTTGGCCACGTTCTTTCTGTCTCTGGAAACCTTGCCTTCCAAAAGGAGTGACGGTCAGGCTGTTACCTCACAGTGCTATGAGGTTGCTGCCTTAGATCGCTGTTGAATCCTTGCAAAACTGGGCAAAGACAGAGAGAGGGGAGCAGACAGAGCTGAATTGAGCGGAATCTCTCTCCCTCCCTTTGTATCCCTCTCTCTCTGTGTATCTCGCTCTTTCTCGCTCCCTATCTGTGTCTCTTCTCTCTCTCTTGGAAAGCCCTGCATGCTCTCCTTGGGGCTCTTCGCTGTCCCCTTTTCTTCCTTTTGGAAATATGGGCTGGCTGAAGAACGAGAGGAGGGGGAGGGGGAGGAGGGAAGCCTCCACCGCGGCTTCCGCTCGTTCTTCAGCTAGCCTGGATTTCCAAAAGGAAGGAAGAAAAAAGGATAGCAAAGAGCCCCGAGTAGAGCATTCAGGGCTTTCCGAGAGTGTGAGAAGCTTATTTTCTTCTTGGAGAGTTTTTGGAAATCCAGGTTGGCTGAGGAATGAGCGCAAGCCATGGCGGAGGCTTCCTTCCTCCCTCTCCCCTCCTTTTCCTCTCGTGCGCACCCTCCAGGCCCCGCCACAGCCGGCTCCATGGCTGTTCGCTGCTCTTGCAGCACCTGTGTAGCACACTCAAATTTACCGCACTTCACTCCATCCCCTTCTCCTCCTCCTGGAGCCCATTACAATGCGGTGCATCGGAGCTGCCGCATTTGAGGCACCAGCTCCTGAGCAGTGCAACAGTCAATGGGGTGACCCTGCAGAGCCTCGAACGCCCCCCTGCCACCTCTTAGTGCCCCCCTGCCGGCCCTTTTGCCTCTTAGTGCCCCCCTAAGTAACCCCACCGCCCCCCAGGGGCGGTACCGCCCACTTTGGGAACCACTGTGCTAGATCATAATATGCATAGGTGTACTTTTTCCCTGTCTGTATGCTCTGAAAACTTTGTAGTTTTAAGTATATATAATGTGAATTATTTTAATGGTATGTCAGCTTAATTTGCATGTCTATCAGATGGTAATTTTGTTGATCTTGCAAATAATCAATTCTTGGGAACTTTCAAATGGGTTGCTTAACCAGGCAATGTTTAGAACTTGAAATCTAGTAATCTTTCTGTAATCAAGCACTTTAAAGTTTGGCAGATGTGGCCCTGTTTTGCTTGATTTTTAAGCTGAGAATATCAGTAGCTTTATTAGATTGGGCACTTGAGGAGAATGCAGGAATGGGGAACTCATATTTTGCTAGCTGCGAGTGAGTTGATTGAACTGCCTTTAGGCAAATAGATTATCTGCCTATTAATTCATTTACTGTACCACTTTCTTTGCTGTTGACTTTCCTTCCTATTCTTAATCAGGCATCTCAGCAGTCTTCAGGTGAAGACATGGAAATTTCTGAAGATGAAGCCGAAGCTGAGCCTCCAACTTCTGTGGCCGGGGTGTCCGACCCACATTTTTCTGTGATGCCATCAGTTCTGGGCCACATGCAATTGGGGGTGTCTTCCTTTACTTCCCACCATCATCCAGAACCATCGCCCTCTTATCCAATCCAGCCTCTCATGTCCGTCTCTGTTCCTCACCTGGCGGGTAAAACCCATTCACTCTCTAATTTTGGCCAAGTCGGTCCCCGGCATGGTCATTGCCTGTCTGATTTCAGAGGACGAGCAAATGTGGTGGGTGGAGGCCGTGGTGCTCCCCACATCTATGACTTTGTGAACTCCATGGAGCTCATGAACCGGCTTGGCAACCAGTGGGGTGGGATGCCCATGTCTTTCCAGATGCAAACCCAGATGCTGAGTCGCCTTCAGCAGCTGCATCAAAACAAAGGCCAGTATGAGGATCCTTTCTCTTACCACCGGGACACGGCCTCTTTCTGTGGTTGTCCTCTGTACAGTGTTGGGTACTTACTGGAGCAGAGCAGTCACCACTTCCAGCGAGACCAGCTTTTCATGCAACAGCCATCAGCAGTTGGGACCTCAGAGCAGCAGCAACAACATTATTCCTCAGAGCAGCCACCTCTGCCCCCTCCACAGAGGCTCCTTGATTTCCGGACAGCTTCATGGGGATATCAGGAAGAGGTGGCTCTGCTCCCACTGCTTCCTGAAGATCCACATGCCTCTGTAGTGGACAGTGTCCTTGCAACCCTCATGCAGGAGATGAAGAGCATCATGCAGCGAGACCTCAATCGCAAGATGGTTGAGAATGTGGCATTCAGCACCTTTGACAAGTGGTGGGAGTGCAAAGAGGAAAAGGCCAAGGTGATTTTACATCAGGGGAATGAAAGGCATGGGTTTCCACCCATCTGAGGCAAATTGGAAGGAAATGGAAGATAGGTTATCTGTTTGTGGTAACACTGAAGCCTCCAAGATGGCCTCAGTCAGGCCAGCTTCAGAGTTGACAGGCGGCCCCCCTTAAGGGAAGAGGACTTCCTGCAAGAAAAGAAAATCACAAAGAGGTTACTTCAGACCCAGTCTAA